AGTCCCCATTTTCCTAATTGAGAAGCTCAGGATCAGAGCAGTTAAGACATGTGTGTAAGGTCCCCCAGCCAGCAAGCGGGCAGAGCCAGAATTCAGATTGAGCTGGATCCAACCCCAGCCCATTCTTTTAAATGCTCCACTACAAAGTAGAAATTTGAATTTCTGCTCAGACCCCTCAAGAGCTTGGTTTTCAGGCTGTAACAAAGTTAGGATCTTTTTATGGTCCCCCACCAAATGTTGATGAACCCACTGAGGATTTAGGCCACCAGCTAAGCCCCAGGCTTGTAATGGGGAGGGAAAAAGTACTCTTTGCCATTGATCTTTTCCATTTCAAATATATTATCAGATTTTGTTTTCTCTAACCAAAATGGGTCATTTTCCTTCATTCTTCCTAGGGAAAAAGAAAACAGAATCATTCTAGGAACATTATCCTGCTGCAGACTTCTGGGGGAAACTGTGTCCCCATTGAGGCCATGCTGGCCTGAGACTCCTGGGAAGGGGTGGGGGTGGGTAGTGGGCCTTGGATGCTAAGACCGCCCCTCCAGCCTCGCCCCACTCACCAAGGCCACTGTTGTCCCCCCAACCTGGAGCTCCATGGACCTCTGCTCCCTTCAACCTCTTAGAATAGCATTCCTCAGGGTCCTGCCTCCTCCCCTCCCCCTCCTCCCCTCCCCCTCCTCCCTTCCCCCTCCCCCTCCTCCCCTCCCCTCCCCTTCCCCCTCCTCCCCTCCCCCTCCTTCCCTCCCCCCTCCTCCCCTCCCCTCCCCTCCCCCTCCTCCCCCTCCTCCCCCTCCCCCCTCCCCCCTCCCCTCCTCCCTTCCTCCTCCCCCTCCCCCTTCCCCTCCTCCCTTCCTCCTCCCCCTTCCCTCCCCTCCTCCCCCTCCTCCCCCTCCCCCCTCCCCCCTCCCCTCCTCCCTTCCTCCTCCCCCTCCCCCTTCCCCTCCTCCCTTCCTCCTCCCTCCCCTCCTCCCCCTCCTCCCCCTTCCCCCTCCCCCCTCCCCTCCTCCTTTCCTCCTCTCCCTCCCCCTTCCCCTCCTCCCTTCCTCCTCCCCCTTCCCTTCCCTCCTCCCCCCTTCCCTTCCCTCCTCCTCCCTTCCCCTCCCCCTCCTCCCCTCCCCCTCCCCCTCCTCCCCTCCCCCTCCTGTCCCCCCCCACCCTCCTTGGCCCCCTTGCTGTCGGAGAGCCCCCCACCGGGTCTCTTGCGTCAGCACTCCTGTCAGGGCCTTGATTGCTAATAAAAGCGGTACAATTGTTGATGGGGAATAGGAAATAAAAATAAAGCACTCAAGCTGACCAGCCACTGTGCCGGGCCATGTTTCAAGATTGTCATCTTAAAGCCAGGAAACAGGAAAAATTGCTGCCAGTTTAGACTGGCTCCCACACTGCCCACCCAGCTCCCCAAACCAGCATCCATCACTCCCTTTCCAAACCATTCCTGCACCAGCCCCTTAGTTCTTGCCCAGAGATTCCAATTCCAAATCCACCCTGTCCCAGGTTATACCTGTCACCAGCAGCACCCCCAACAGGGAAGCATATTCGTCTTTCTACTATAAGGCTGGTAAGGAGGGGGGTGTCTAGAGCTGCAGGTGTCGGGGTACAGAATTGCTAGAAGGCAGAGGTTCAGAGATGGGGTTGGGGGACAGTAACTTAGGGCCTAGTGATACCCAGTTGAGCCTCAGGGATGTCCCAGGAACAGCAGCAGGGCTTGCTGATACCCGGGCAGGCATCTACCATCCACAGGGACAGCAGGGCATGTGCAGCCAGCACCTAGCACTGTTTAGAGTCAAGGCCTTAGGCAAAAGCAGGCCTCAGTCCTCTAGGGTCTGGAGAACTGTGACAGCCCCTGGAAACTTATTTTGGGGGGCTCAAAGCTGAAGTTCAGTTGTAAATTGGGGTGGTATTGGGTAGGGGGTGTTAACTATGGGAGGAGCTCTTTGGGTCCAGAGGAAATGATCTGTGACTCTGGTGACATGTCAAAAGCTCTGAGTCAGCTGTGTGTCTCTGAGTCACAGTGGAGGTTGACCTAAGAGTGGCAAGAGCCATCATGTCTCCCCCTCCACCCCCTCAGCCCCTGCTTTCAGCTCACTCTGGTCTGGGATCTTCATGACAGGTGAGGTTCACACACCTAGGTGAGGGTCCAGAGGGCTCAGCTGTAAGGAGGCCAGAGGACAGAGGGACAAAAGAAAGGTTCCCTTCCCCCAAGTCACTCCCTCCCATTTGATTTGTAAGATACACACAATTTCCTTGTGGGTTGGTTGCCTTCCTTTGGGATAAAAATGGTGCCACCAATGTTTTCCAGATCTTTCCTCTGGAGATTTTATTATATCCCTAGTAAGACATAACAGTCACTGTCATTGCCAATAGGAGATTCTGAACAAAATCCTGAGATTTTCTCTGATTGGGCCAATTTTGGTCACATGGCCCTCCATGAACCAATAGCCATGGCTGGAAGAATGTGATATGCAGATGTGAGAGAGATCGTGTTAGTTTCAGCCAATCACTCCTGAGCTGAGCATGGGTTAAAGCCAGGCTGCATGGATAAAATGTCAGATTTGGGGTTTTCTTAAGAAGAAGGAAAGGAGAAATAGGTGCCAGAAAAGCACCCAATAATGGCCAATAAAACTGACAGAGATTGAGGACCTACTATGTGCCAATAGCTGTGTGCCTTGTGCAAACACTCTCGTTCAATTATTAGATTTAAAATAGACTTCAGAGACATGGTGACTCTGAGAGCAAGTCAGCACTCCACTTCAGGGGCCCATAACAGAATCTCTGCAGGGCAGTGTGAGATTTGCACATCTAACAAAAAAAGGGGGAGTGGATTTTAAAGATTGGAAAATACTACCCAGCTATTTCATGGGTAACCTTCCAAAATCCCGACACAGCAGTCTACCACAGTGCCAAAGGGTCTGAGCCTCCAAGGTCTGACAGGCTTGGGTTCGAATCATTGGGTTCACTTGTGTTGCTCACCTGCTTTCTGACCTTGGACTCGGGCTTCTCATCTGTACAATGAGCTGATAACAGAACGCACACCACAAGGTTGCTGTGACCATGGAGTGAGACAAGGCACGTGCCCTGAGCAAAGGAAGTGCTCAGCAATTGGCAGCTTTTTGTTATTATGAAAGTGTTGAGAACTTCTATCACACCTGCCATCGGGAAGAAGGGGCAGGAAGCACCAGCACCACCCAGCACCCTCATTTTACAGATGAGAAGCCTGCAGCCCAGATTGGTGCATGATGTACCGAAGGTCCCATGACGTAGGAGTGGTTGGGCCAGAACCACTGGAGGGTAAGTTTCCACTCAAGGCAGCCCTCCTGATTGTCAGTCCAGGACTTACATGGCCCATCGGGCTGCACCTTGTTCCTTGATCTCCCCACCAGAGAACCCAGCGCTGTATCTGGTGCATAACAGGGCTCCATGGCCCTTCTTGAGAATCGGCATGACTGGAAGCAAGAGAGATGGAGCTCGTGACTTTCCAAAGACCCTTCCAGGAAATGGACTTCAAAGATTTCAGCCACCTTCTGTCCAGACACCTCATCCAGATTCTGTTGCCAACTACTACTATTGATTTAGGAGGGAGGCAAACTAAAAGGTGTTCTTTGGCTTCTTAAAGCCACTGCTGTAGCAACAATCACAAATAAGCGCTCTGGCCAAACGGCTTCTTTAATTGGATGATCCCAATTACTAGGAGATGGGGCTCGCATAATGAGCATCTTTCTGATTGAACTTTCAAACACATGACAAGTGCACATTTGAAGACCTCTGAATCTGCCTTCACCTCTCCACTGCAAGCATATGTACACACACACACACACACACACACACACACCAGCTCCACACACACAGCTCTGCACGTTCCCATTCAAGGTGATTGACGCAGCCTAATAAGTACAATGCTTCTCTGCTGTGGCACCACTGGTCCTAGGTGGCACTCAGTTAATGCACAACCCTGCTGGAAAGCTAATTAAAAAAATTTTGAGAACATCTTGAAGGCAAAGAGAAAGTGTCCGTGGACCTGCTGTAATATCTCTGTTTTGAAGGATTTGATCTCATAAATTCCCAGCGTCTCTTCCCTTCCTCAACATTCAATCAGACTTGTCACCTTCTGCTTTGCCCATTCAGAAGTACTGATCGACGGCGCAGGAGGACAGCTGTGGTTGACAACAATTAATTGGACATTTGGAAATAGCTAATAGAGAGGATTTTAATTGCTCCCAACACAAAGAAATGATATATGCCTGAGACCATAGATATGCCCGTGACCCTGATTTGATCATTACCCATTGTATACGTGACTGAAACGCCACACTGTACCCACAAACATGTGCAACTACTATATATCCATTTAAAATATGCATTAATTGTAAAACTTTTTAAAATATTTTTTTTTAAGAATTACTACTACAGCACCTACTGTTGAGTCAGAAATAATAGGCGCTAACTCTCTGCCTCCCAAGGCACCTAGAAAAGAGACAGCTGCAGAACAGGGATATAGGAGATTTGCTGGGACAGGCCCAGGTCTATGGGAGCACAGAGGAGAGGCTCCCGGCAGCCCAGGGAAGCAGGGAAAGTTTCCTGGAGGATGAAAGGAACTGAGAAAGGCACGACAGATGGGGAGAGCTGCTCCAAATCTGTCCCTTCTCCTCCCTGCTTTCTGAGTCTTAATACAGACTTTCTTTCTATGGCCCTACAAATGTCATCGAAGCCACCTTCTCATTGGGCTCCCTGGTTCCGGGGGCTTCCCAGGCTGCTGTCAAATCTCACCTCTTTAATACACAAATGTGCCATCACTCCTTCAGAACATCCCTGACCCCTACAGAAATTACCTAAGGTCATGAAAAACACCCCAGCAGTAAGACCTTATTGAGAACACATCTCATATAAACCTGTTTGTTTACTTCTAAGTTCTCCGTACTATTAATGTGTCAGTGTGTAAAGGGCTGGCGTACTGGGAAAATTTTGCACAACACGTAGAAAATTTTAAAGAAGAATAGACAAAGTTGAAAATTGTAAATAGACTTTATAAATAAAAATGTCCAGTCATTAGCTAAAAGAATGAGATCAATGTAATTATTCATTGTAAATACTTCATTGCTTTTAAAAATCATAGGTTGAGGCAGGAACAATAGCATATTCCTATATTGCCAGTGACTCAGGAGGTTGAGGCAGGAGGGTAACAAGTTGAGGCCAGGCTTGGCAACTTAATGAGGCCCTATCTCAAAATAAAAAATAAAATTACTGGATACAGCTCCATAGTAGAGCATCCCTGGGTTCAATCCCTAGAACTGGAGGGCTAAAAAAAAAAAAAAAAAACATAGGCTATCTTTTTTATAGAATCATTTGAAATCAGGTTGAAAGGGTGTTTATTTTGTCCATGGTTTTTCTAGATTTGACAGGCTGTGAGGCATTCCAGAGACATGGAGAGTAAACACAGAAGATATACATTATTGGCTGCACTTTCTACACATTAGGCTCATTTTTCAGTAACTACCAATTATACAAAAGACATTGTGGACATTTGCCTAGTAGATTTCCATATTCCACATGTCAATCTTTTTTTTTTTTTGCAAACAAATCAGAAGGTGTGGCATTTTTATATTTTGAACAAATGTGTTCAGAACGCTCTAGAATTCTTTATTTAGAAGATTTTTTAACACCTTAGAAAATTCCGTTTCCAAGTCTTCATAGAATACAGATATGACAGTTTTTACAAGTGACACACTGACAGTATTTTAGGCAATAAGATCACATAATGGTGGAAACACTTCAAACGCCCATTTTTAAATGCTCTTTCTCTCATGTAAGCCTCTTCCCAAAGCAGTCCCTTTCTCACTCATTGTTAAAAATGTCACCTTTACCTCAAAAGGGCAGGTTACAGATATTTACTTTTTTTGAAAGCATATAATAGCAACAGCTACCTGTCATGACGGGAAAGGTCAGCAAATTTGGAAAACTCGTCTTTTTGTAAAAGAAAATTATACGTCTCATTGTTAAGTTCAACAAGCTAGCCAGAGACCCTCTGGGCAGTGCAAGATCACTGCTCTTCTCATTACAAACATCCAAAGAATCTCCGGCTTACAATATTCTGCTCTGCCAGCCCCTGCGACTGCTATGTGGCTCCTTAGACTGAAAGCACAGGAGCTATCTTTGCAGCCCTCTGTGTGGGTTCAGGTGGAGACTCCCACTCTGTCCTTGGCAGGCCTTATGCACCCTAAGAGACACTCGGTGTCTAATGAGTAGATAATTGAGGGTAATGGTGTCCCTTCATTTATTAAATACTAGCAAAGTTTAATTTCTTTGTCATTTTCAAAATAAGAACTAAAATCAAATAAAGGCCTTGTTATTTTCTTCCCACCCTCCAACGGATATCTGGTGCCTTGGAGATGACTGGCACGACAGGGATGGAGTCCTCCCCGTCCCGTTGTCCCTCAATGTTTCATCCATGACAATAACAACTAATATTTATTGAACACTTACTATGTACCAGAACTGATCCACATCCTTTTTATGCATCAGTCTCATTCAATCTCCATATACATTTTATGGAATAAATGCTATTATGATTCTCTTCTCACAGGCGAGGAACTAAAGTCCAAGGGATTGAGCAACTAACCCAACTTTTGAAGATTAGAAAGTGGTGGGGACAGGATTCAAACCCAGGGAGTTTGGCTTCAGAGTCTACACTCCAGCACTGTGCTATGGTTGCTCCAACTTACAAAGAGCTTTGCAAAGTTCTGCACATTATGCCACACTCTTTGATTCTTCCAGAAATTTGCAGATGTTCCTTTTGCCCAGACCAATCTTTCAAGGTCAAGGTTTGCTGCTACTGGCAGAACTTCTGACCCTGCTGGAGGATGGGTTGCCTGACCCAGGATGATGGCCCTTTCTCTGCAGACTGCTTCAAGAATATGTGAGTCAAGCTGGATCGATCAGTTTCCTTCTCTTGGGATTTGAAATTTGAAAAGAGTGACATAGGAACTGGATGGGGAGGTGGCTTCTGGGGTTAGGGAGGAGGGTATCATTGAAAAAGAATCTATAAATCGCTGCTTTCCAGAGAGTTCTTGAACGCCCAGAGCCAATTCTGCCCCATAAGCTTGGTGATCAAGATCTTCTCTGACTTCCAAAAGAAATCCTCACGTCTTCTACTGAATCTATCCAAAATCCATTTTATCTGCTTAAGTGAATAAAGCCGACTTAGCAGATCCACTGCGCTCTGGAACATCTCTCCACAGTGTATCTATCAGCGCCCTCTGAGGCCTTCCATTCGTTTGCAGGCTTGGGGACCTTCAGTGTCTGGGCTTATTCCACGTCTGAATTTTTGGTGCCTAAAACCACCTGTGACCCAGAACGGATGTCTCCAAATGCTTGCTGAGCACCTACCCGGATGGGTGTATTTCCCAGAAAGCGGCCATGCGTTTGGATGTCTCCATTCTTTTTGCACTGATGTTTCCAGTGGGAACCTTGAAAATAATATCTCTGAAAAGAAAATCCAGGTTAGAATCATTAAAAGCATGAAAACATGACCTTTACTGGTGAAGGTGTAATCCATTAATAAGGTACCATGTACTAGAGAGATAATGGGAGCCTTCCACAGCGGGATTGAAGAACTATTAGAATCTGGGGGCAATACTCATTTTCCAAAATTGCTTTATCCCCCTGAGGTCTAAACAGTGGGGAGCATACCAACTCTCCAGGAGCTGATAGGAGGAGCACTGGATGGAGGGAAGGACTTAGATGAGGGAAGAGGTACCATCCAGGAAATGCCACTTAACCGTCTTCCTGATGACACCCTGCAGGAGGCTCCAGCCTGTCCTCGTTTGCTGTGACCAGCAGTCAGTAATTTTCTGGTCACTGACCATGGACAACACTGCCAGTCACTGACAAAAGTAGAGGTTTGGGGTAGAGGATGGGAGTGGAGCTGGCATTAGAGTTTGGGGTTCTAGTTATGCAGGACATCACTGGTACACAAGCCTCAGACACAGCTAAGGCCCCAAGTCTCTCCCAATGACTGAAGGAGGCTCTGTCATTCCTGATTCATGGAGTCACTAAGTTCCCAGGTGGGAAAGACCTAAAAGGTCATCTTTGCTTGAGCACCTTTGCTGACAGATTTATCACCTCCCAAGGCTGGCCATCCGTCCTGGAGATCTGACAGTCAGAACGCTCTTCCTTATGCCCCACCCAGGCTGAGCTCTTCACCTGAGGCCACCATGCCAATCAGAGCAGATCATGGGGTAAGGAGGAGCAGACAGCCCCGGGTGAGGGCAATAGGAGGGAACATTGTCTACAGAGAATGCAAAAACAATAATAAACCCCACTAAAAGTTGTTCTGCTTTTTATTATCACCGTTCGCCAGCAATTCTGAAGAAGGTTAGTGGTAAAATATTCCTCTTTAACAAAAGCTTTTGTTGGTCAAATTCTAAATAATTGTTACAGTTACTGTTGAATTTTCATAATAATAATGAATTTGGAATAAGCTTTCATTTAGCACATTTTTTATTACTCATCCTTTAATGACATCGTGCTCTACACTGGTACTAATTTGGAGAAGTCCCAGTTCTACAGTTGGTCTCCAACACATGCAAACTCAGCTCTATGTGTTCATTTGAAGAGAAAATTCTTAAGGTTTGGACCCAATCCAGCTTGCTCTGAGCACAGTTCATGTCTTCAATTGCTATGGTGCTACACATCCCTGAGTTAAAATGGTAAAGTCAAAATAAGCACTGTAATTGGTAAAGGCAGAAAATGAGTTACTTCAATTCTGACAGTCTTTGTGAGCATTTGAAGTTTTTAAAATTTAGAACAGTGAACACCACAAAGTGAAATAGGGATTTTTTTGTTTGGGGTTTTTCTTTTCTTTTCTTTTCTTTTCTTTCTTTCTTTCTTTTTTTTTGTGAGTGCAATTTTTAGATCATCTGCATTGAATTTGAAAGATATCTTGAAACTCATACTTGCTTTTAAATTGCTCATTTTTTTAAACTGAAGAATTAATCAGGAAAATAAAACTGCACTGTTATTATTTACTACTGTCACATTCCATGGATATGTTTTCCTTTTGCCCAAAAGCTACACCACTATAATAAAAATATGAGAATATCACTGTTTTCCTTTTTATAATATTTGTTGAGTTATGTTAAAGTAATTACATATTTTAATATGATTATGTGTATTAATGTTAATAAAGGAATTTTTTCTCTACTTTTCCTTTGTAGGATTATTGTTACTTTTATGTTCTTTACTGAAAATAATTGTATGCATAGGGGGAGGCTGGTAGAGAAATAATTCTTTCCAAATATCCAATATACTGGGCTGATTCTAGACCCTTCTCTGAGCACAGCCCCAGGGTTTGAAAAATCCCCATCATGTTCCCCCTAGACTTTTCTAAGTGGATCATTCCCATGCTCCAAAATATTTCTAACAAAAATGATTTTGAGTATTTTTTCTATCCTCCCTATAATGGTTATCCTTTATCTTATAACATACAAGGTCTCCTTAAATGCTCCCTATTATTATTATGTTTTAGGTATTAGATGTCCCCAAAGCAAGAAAGTTTAGAGATGAATGATTGCATTATAAGAGTTTTAACCTAATCGGTGCATTTTTCCCACTTGAATGGATTAATTGGGTGGTAACTGTAGGCAAGTAGGGTATAGTCTGAGAAGCTGGGTCAAGCGGGGTGTGCCCTTGGTATTTATATTTTGTCAGTGGTGAGGGGAGTTCATCACCCCTCTCTCTCCTTCCTGGTACCATGTCCGGAACCACTTTCCTCTGCACACTCTTCTGCCATGATGTTCTGCCACACATTGGACCCTAAGCCATGGAATCGGCCAGCTATGGACTGAGACTTCTAAAACCATGAGCCCCCAAATAAACCTTTCATCCTTAAGATTGTTCTTGTCAGATCTTTTGGTCACAGAAGCAAAAGCTGGCTGAAGCAATCATCCTGTGAAGCAGATATTGTTTGTCCCATTTTATGGCTGAGATATTGAGAATCTTCATCTCTTTCCCCAGTGCTGGGACTCAAATCCAGGACCTCACACGTGGTAGGCAAGCACTCTGCCACTAACTTAGATCCTCGGCCCCGACACTGAGGATCAAATTGGGTGTGCAGCAGAAGATGTGCAATCCTGTCCCCATCTCCCATACCCACCATAGTATATGGTCCAGCTTGTCCACCTTGCTCGTTTCCTGGTGGCCTCCAAAACCCCATATCCTCCACCTGCAGGACATAAAGGTTTGACAGGGAGAGATTCACCTTCATTTCAGAAGCCGCACTTGTACTAATGCTGCCTCTGAGCTCATTGGTTTTATGGCAGCTGCAATAGACAGAATGGGTCCCAGGAGGAGTTCAGCTTGGGCCATGAAGGTCCAGCATGTGATATCCAGGATCCATGAGATCTGAAAGTGGGAAAGAGCAAACACTGAGATTAAATGTGTTCCTCTGTGTCATTCAGTGAAGGGACAAAAATCCCCAGGACCCAAAGAGAGGGTCATGCAAGAGCTTCCACCTGAAGACAGTTTGGTGTCTGAAGAGCCCTGGTCCAGAGAGGGGAGCCTGAGGCAGAGAAGGAGAGGTGAGCAGCCAAGCACAGAGCCTGCCTCAGTAGGCAATAAAGGGAGGCCAAGGCTGGTTCACCCCAGGAGAAAGACACACCCCTGCTGTACTGGGAATGGTTGCTGGTCTCTCTTTTATCATTTTATTAAAAAATGAGTTAATACACATTAAGTGATTGGTAAAAAAATATCATTTTACAACTTCTTATAGTTTTTTGGTAGATATCCTGAAGTCTTCAGAGTTTTTTCATGTTTTTTTTATTTTATGGGTTCTTTTTATTTATGCATGAGAGTAGAATCCATTTTGACATAATCATAAAGCATGGAATAATATATCAGGTTTTAAATCAGTCCTCAGTACCTCTCTTTCACCTTACCTCCCCCATTCCCCTGCCCCTTCCCTCTACTGATCTTTCTACCATTTACCCAGTTATTTTTTCAAATTAATTTTTTGTGGATGTACACATGCTGAGCTTCACTGTGGTGTATTCATATGTGTACATAGAAAAGTTATGTCAGATTCATTCCACTGGCTCTCCTTTCCCCATCCTTGCTTCCTTCCCTACATTACCCTTTGTCTACTCCACTGAACTCCTAGTATTTTTTTAACCCTCCCTTCTTATTGTGGATTAGCTTCCACATATCAGAGAAAACAGTCAAACTTTGGTTTTGGGGGATTGTCTTATTTCACTTAACATGATAGTCTCCAGATGCATCCACTGCTGCGACCAGCACAGCCAAACTAGCAGGTTCCTGCGAGGGGAGATGGGAGATTAGAAGAAATAAGACTCACATACACAGATTGTGAAGATAAAACAGCTGGGATTGGGTGGAGTGCTGTTCTCTGAGAGAGAAGCAGGTCTAAAGAATTATGCCAGCAATCTTTATTATATATGTCTCATTAATCAGATTAAAGACTATGCAAGCATTATTCTTTGTATTCATGAAAGTTACAGAGTTAGCAACATTATGCAGCTTATTCCTAAATTACATTCTACAGTTGCAATGTGCAATGTTAGGAGCATTGTATAGCTCTTAGGAAAGTCCATTTTTTAAATTGATTTTATTTTTTTAGATACATGACAGTGGAATGCATTACAATTCTTATTTCACATATAAAGCACAATTTTTCATATCTTTGTATATAATAAAGTATGCTCACACCAATTTATGTCTTTATACATGAACTTTTTTTTGCATTACAATTCTTATCACACATATATACCACAATTTTTCATATCTCTGTTTGTATATAAAGTAGGTTGACACCCAACTCGTGTCTTCATACAGGTACTTTGGATAATGGTGTCCATCACATTCCACCATCCTTGCTAATCCCCTGCCTCCTCCCTTTCCTTCCCACCCCTCTTCCCTATCTAGAATTAGAAAGTCCATTATTTAAAGTTATTATTATGAGGGCAGGTTCAGGAGCAGCAGAGCTGGTGAAACATTGTAGTTGTTTTAGCAAGAGAATTCCTTCATTCCCAGAAGCTGTGGGCCTGAGAGCAAGGTTGAGGCTGACAAGACTCTAGCACAGAGCCTCCCCATGGAGGGCATTACCATAGCAATGGGGCATCCTGTACCTTTGCACAGAAACTTTCCCAGGGACCCCAATCTCAGTCACTGGTCTCCCAATCACTGTCACCTCTCTCCACAGTCCATTCACCAGCAAATGTCATAAAGTCATTCTTCTACTGAGGGGTCAGAGGACTAGGCTGAAGGATCCCAGGTGCCCATGCCAGACCATCTCTAGCCAGCCACTTTAGAGAGGCTTACAGGGATGCATCCAGATGCTGCCATGAGCCCTTTCAGTCCTCTTGCATCTATATGAAGATAATTGAAACCATCTTCCCAAGGCCATTTGATAGAGGACAGAGAGCTTTGGACAATTTGCTGGACATTTTCTATTTCTGTTATCCCTGGTGTGAAGGCAGGGAATCAGGACTGGCAAACCCAGACAGGCTGAGTACCCAGAAGGACTTGGGTCCAAATCAGCTTGTCCTCTCATCCTGAGCCTGGGTTGACCTCCTATCCTGCCTTGACCCTGAGCCACCCATCCTGATCAAGAACATTTGACCTTAGCACAAGTCCTGACAAGAATCCTTGTTCAAGGTCACCTCATTTGGCTTAGCCCTTGGATCCAGGTTTTGAGATATTTGGGGTCTCAAATAAGTGGTGTTCCTGACTCCTATGGGGCATTGAGAATCAGTGGGATTCTCCAACTCCAGGCAACATCAAAAGGTGGACAGATGCTGTCTCTCCAGGGAAGAACCCCATCCTATTGTCAGGAGTGAAGACTCGGGTACATCCCCCAGTGAGAGGAACTAGCAGGCTCAGGGCTGGGGAAGGGTTCCTGACAACCACTCTGAGGATCAGAGGCATGGAGGCGCTCCAGACCTTCAAGAGTGTTCAGATGCTGCCCAAGACTCCAGCAGAAGCTGGCCCTCTAATCTGCTAAATAGGCGAGGATGAGGGGCTGTCTAGTCTGTTTTGTGCTGCTCTAACAGAATCTCTCTCACTGAGAAAGAACAGAGACTTATTTCTTACAGTTCTGGAAGTCGGCAAGTCCAAGGTCAAGGATCCCACATCTGATGAGGGACTTCTTGCTACATCATCTCATGGTAGAAGGCCGGTGAGAAAGAGGGAAGAGAACCAAATGCATCCTTTCATCAGGAACCTATTTCCATGGTAACCAACCCACTCCCAAGATAACAGCATTAATCCACTCATGAGGGCAGAGCCCCCGGGACCTGGTCTTAAAGGTACCACCTCTCAACACTGCTGTATGAAGTGTTTAACACATGAAATTTGGGGGACACATTCTTAACTTGCCTTGCTCACTCATGGACAACCAGGTTCCTGCCTCCAGACCCACTGGGCCCCTGACCTGGGGCCATGAGACTAGATTCATCCAGCAGAAATAGGCTTCTAACATGCAGGCCTGGGCAGGGTATGGAGGGGCTGAGCCTAGGGGTGAGTGCCCTTGGGGACTCGTGAATGATCCAGGAGAGGAAGGAGTGGGGAGGAACGTGATCACTCCCAAACACATAGACTCAAGAAATTGCATCTCATCTGTGGAGTCTGGTGTAACAGGCCAGGCTCAGACTTTGCCAGGCTGGCATCGTTTCCTGCTTGTGGTGTCCTTCCCGTTGCCTTTGGGTTAAGTGTGGGGAAACGAGAGCATGATGGCAAACACTGATTAACCGTGGCCTGAGCAGGGGAGAGAAGCTTCTCCTTCCTATTTCTCTTCCTCCCACCCGTTCTCTCTCTCTCTCTCTCTCTCTCTCTCTCTCTCTCTCTCTGAAGAAGCACTGCTCTTTGTCCTAACCTATGGAATGGTGGGTTAATTGGCTTATAGAGCTGCTGAATATGGAACAGAGTCCTAATGGAGACTTAATCAAAGGAGACAGTTATGTCGAGTGAGGTGTAAAAGCCATTGAAGATGAATGGAGATGGATACAATTTTCCCCCCAGAGTTATTCACAGCCATTTTAATAAAGTGCAAGTTTAACTATGGAATGGATCGTGTGACCAAGTGTCATTTGGCTGTAGGGCACAGCAGGGCAGGCACAGGAAGGAGGACATGGAAAGTCCCTTAGAGAAGGCGGAGACTCTCTCTGCTCCACGCAATGGGTACAGAGCCAAAGTCTAATGTTCCCAGCCAAATCTTCCTTCTGCCAAGTGGCTCATTTTGGTGACTCATTTCAATGATGCTTTCTGCATCCTCTATGGTATGTGGCCAGGAGTCTCAGTGGCTAGAGCAGGAAGCTCAGTGAGCCTAGGTCGTGGCTACAATCAGAGGTCCAGAAAGCCAAGCATGTACCAGACACCTTCCCTTGGACCTCTGCATCTTCCCTCTCAGCACCTCCACTCATTCACCAGTGCCTAACTTAGTTGTCACTCCGTCTGGAAAGACCTTCCTGATCCACTCCTGTCTGGATTTCTCCAAAGTCTTATACACCACGGGGTTTCTTGATTGGTCTTTTTTATTGTGTTCGCCATCACTGCTAGACTATGATCTCCCTGAAGTACACACACACACACACACACACACACTTACTTCCTGGGATTATCCTAGACCCACTGTTGTGTAAATCGCTTCTTTCCTCGGCAATATGGGATGGACATCTTTCCATATGATGCATTTTCCCCATAACAGGCTCTTGAAGAGCTGCGCTGTGTTTCTTTGAATGGCTGGAACATAAATTATTTAACAAACCTCGTAGCTTTTTCTGCTATCAGAAATATCATCGAAAGGATCATTCTCCTACATATATGCTTTTTTTGAAAATGTGTCCAATTAACTCTCTCATAAATTCCTAGAGGGAAAATCATTGAGGTCAAAGTTTTGATATATATTTTCAAGTTGCACGCCAAAAAAGTAAAAATGTGTGCTAATGTACACTCCCACAGATGTCGTCGGAGAGTGTCTGTTTCCCTACAGCCTTTCTAGGCACTGTCAATCATGTTCGTTTTTGCCAATCTGATGGGTAAAACTCGATGTCTCAGTCTTGTTAAATTTGACAATTTAATAGTCCAAGAAAGGCCCCATCGAAGGAGATGATATAACTACATGTCTTGGCAGTGCTTGTGAGGATTCCAGGAGCCTCTGTTGGGCAAAGAAGGGCTTGCAGAGAGTTTTCCTGAAGAAGTTATCTTAGATGAGGATTCAGCTCCCTGAAGGAGGAGACTAGAAGCCCAAACCGTGAAATCCATGAGAGGTAGTCAGGTGTGTCCTGGTTCATTTACTATCGTACCCATGGGGATTGGTGGGTTTTCTTAGGGCCACATTTTCTGGCATCTGATGGGCATTGAAGTCTCAGATCTGAGAGGGCCATCTAAGCAAGTCTGAGGGCTAGCAGGAGCAATGTACGGGTCAGGGAGATGGTGTATCTTACACACGAGATAAAAGGTAGTGAGACAGAGACAAAGGAGCTTGCGCAGCTGGTCTGGCTTACAGAGCTAGATAAAAGCAGCCAGGAAAAATCATAAACAAGGAACTAGACAAGAGACAGTTACCCTCAAGGTTCAGGCTTTGAGGCTGCAGCCTGGTACCTTCTTGGACACCCAGGGGCTAAATAACCCCTACACACTGGGCATGCCTGAAGTCCTGGCACT